TCAGTCCATGAACTAAAAAATGATTCAAAAGGTTAAACAACCGGTCATTTTTTAAATTTCTTAATGTTTCTGTTTTTTTATTTTCGATTTATTGCAATTTTGACACTTTTTAATAGTTTAGGGGTGTGAATTTGATTTTTTTTCCTACTTGTTTAACCTTTTTTGAATAAACTACTTGTTTAACCTTCAAAACGAAATTTGGACCCCTGTTTTGTCAGTTCGGGGTGTGAATAAGACATTTTTTTAGTTTAGGGACCGAATTTAGCTTACACGATTGATAAACGGGCTCTTTAGCCAATTTTTTTGTTGCAACTAAAAATGAAGGAAGTATAATACTTAGAAAGTTTACTAAGAAAACTATAAATACATTTGTATAATATAGTTTGTTTGGCTCCTCTTTGGCTTGGATGGTTTGTTGAGATATTCCTATCCATGATGTCAGGAGTTCGAAGCTGGTATTAGAGAAGAGGAGAGAAGTAGGAGAAATTGAGGTATTCTAAAATACCTCCTTTAAACATTAAAAAAAAAATATCAAAGAATAAAATACAATCAAATTAAAGAAAACAATGCAAATTTCAACAGTTTAATTGAATAACTAATGTACCTCATTTAGAGTTAATGTAATTTGTTAATGGATAAATAATTTGAATACCCCAGGTTTGAGGTAAGCACCATAAACTTATGTGTAATATATATGCCTCAAATTTTCAAGAATAATTTTTCTCAATATTATTCTTTTCTTCAATTATATATATACATAACTATATAACATTTAAGAAGATAATATCTTCCTATTTTTATTTTTTATATAGATCTATTATCTCTATATTATAATAAGTACATAATATATACGGAGTACTTATTAGTACACAATATATACTATTATCTCTACATTATCTATTATAAGTGCACAATATATAATTATTAGTGTTTCAAACATGTATTATCTATTATCTATATACTACAATAAGCACATAATATATACTATAATCTATATACAATAATAAGTACATAACATATACTTTTTAGTGTTTCAAATAAATCTACATATCATTTTTTTCATGTGTAGCATTTGTTATTTATTTAAAAAAAAAAAACCCAAACGGCCCAAGACCAAAACCAAAACCGCCCGAATACCCGAGGCTGGACCGGAACCAGTTAGAACCAGGTCGATTCTGGGGAACCATGACATGCCAATCCGAGACCAGAACTGGATCCACCCATACTTTGGAGCACAAGTTGTCAAAACTCAAAAGTAGTTCAACAAACCAAGCTAGATGTTTCAAGCAGTCTTAGGCTCTTAGAATGTTTTTATTTAGACTCATTTCAACCCCAAATCAAACCAAAATTAAATACACTAAACCAGATTTCAAAAACGGTAAAATTAGGGGTGGATTCGGGTCGGGTCGGACCCGGGTTGGGCCCGGGACCGGCCCCGGGTATCCACCAGGTCCGGTCCGGGTCTGGGGCGGGCTGGGCAGGGCCTCGGGCCTCTTTATATTTTTTTTTTGCTTTTTCTAATTAACCCCCTCACCCCCCCCCCCCCCCAAACCAGCCAAATGGCCCAAAATACCCAGCCCAACCTGGAAAGTTAAAAAAAAATTAAAAAAAAAAAAAAAAAGCTCGATCCGGGCCCGGAACCGGCCGGGCCGGTTCCATATATCCCCGATCCGTACCCGTCCCGGTTACCCCCCCTAAACCGGGTCGGCACAGTACCGGGCCGGGTGGCCAGAACCGGGTCCAAGGCTAAATGAAATACAGACAAACCAAACAACTACCATACCAAACTATAACATTACAATCCTAAGTAAAAACATGTTTAGCCCATTCACAGCATGAAATCCTTGAATTATATGTGGCATACTGGCATTGAAAAAACTAATTAATACCACTATTTGACAATTGCCGTTATTATAAGAGAAAATTGGGTATATATATAAGTTTAATTACCTACCATTAAGTTAATGTTATTAAGTTAATGTTATGTATTATCAAAAATAAAATGAATAGCCTTTTCTTGACTTACTTTCAATTTTTTTATCATTTCCCTTCCATGAACATCTGGTAAAACTACTACATAGGGAATGGACCCGGGCCTAGGACCGGCCGGGCCGCGGTTCAGGAAAGGGTAGGCCCGGAACTGGCCCGGGTAACCCCCGGGTCCGGTTCGGGCCGGGTCACCCGCCCGGTTCACGGGCCGGGCCTTTTTTTAAAAAAAAAATTATATATTATATTATTATAATAATTCTTATTAAAAACAAAATTCAAGTGCATTTATTTGAAATAGGAAGTACATTTGAGAATTGAGAAAAAAATCACAATATGAAATACATTTTCTAATAAATATCAATTAGGATTTCCGCCACCGATGGTTGTTGTTTTGCCTTTGTCACATGACTTCATATGTTTTATTGGCATCCCGACTCCGTGTGAACGCCCCAAGCAACACTCTTTCTTGCACCACTTGCAAGTTGCCCACCACAGCCCGGTCTTCGGGTCCTTCCACTTATCAAAATTGTTTTGCATAAAAGAAGAATTACTTTCCATCTTTAAAATGGTAGATGTATAAGTAGGAATGTAGGATAATAAGAGAAGATGAAGATGGAGAAGAGTTGGAGAAGAGGTGTAGAAAAATGGTAGAAAATAGATGTATTTATAGATTTTTTTGAACCCCACTCCCCACACCACCACCCCTGGGACCCCCCGCCCCCCACCCTAAGCCCCAACGGCTATATAGCCGTTTGGGAGCTATGTTGTAATTTAAAATGTTTTTAATTTTTTTTTTGAAAATTATACATTTTGTAAAATAAGTTAATTAATTTAATGAATTAAGTAAGTAAAACTATTTTTACTTAGAAAAGTGGTTTGATTTATAATTTACAAATGTTACAAAATAGGTGTATAAGTATTTAAACAAATTACATATTGAAGTTGTAACTTGTAAGTTTGTAACCAATTAATTACGGAGTAATTTGCATATTAATATTACATATTTTAATTTAAAAACAGCCTTTAGATTTTACAAAAATAATTTGAAGTTGTAACTTGTAAGTTTGTAACCAATTAATTAATTTGAGAAGTGCTACATATGAAAAAATGAACGCATATTTATTTGAAATATGAAGTACAAGTTTACAAATTAATTTTATTGAATTGATTATTGAATAATTTTTTTTTGTTGATTATTGAATTGATGTACACAATAATATAAAATAATTCAAGTATATTTATTTCAAATAAGAAGTACAATTGAGAATTAGGATGAATTTAATAAATGTAATACATTTTGTAATAAAAAATCAATCGAAATCTCCGCCTTTGGTGGTTGTTTCCTCCATAAAGTGGCGGGTGGGAGCGATGGTCATTTCTTGAGTTCTTCGTTGGGTCTTCAACCAATCGTGGAAGCAAACTAGTGTCTCAAGAGAGCTCGGGCTCAACCTCGTTCTATAATCGGTTAGGACGTTGCCGGCCGCACTAAATTCTTGTTCCACGGCAACTGTTGATATCGCCATTGCTAGCACTTGCTTAGCCATCTTTGATAAAATCGGGAACGTTCTTTCATTTTCCTTCCACCACTTAAGAACGTCAAAGTCATCCCCAACTTCATAATCAACATTCAATGTTAGATACAAAGAAAGCTCGTTAACTAAGCTTTGTTCAGTAGCGGGAGTTGCTCTACTTTTTTTCAAAAGAGAACCAAATGCATATTTTAAAAGTGATTTTCCTTTAGATGAAGAAGATGTTCGCGGCATGAGAGGGGGTGCATTACCATACTGTGCATGAAATAGATTATACAATGGATGAAATAAATTACTAACCTCGTTGTATTCTTGTTTAGGGTCGATGGGATTATCATCGAACTCTTGAGTTGGAAAAAAAGAAGCATAATAGTAATCTATACAACTTGCCAACGAGACAAGTTTATAACGAGGATCAAGAACAAATGCAATACCATATATATGCGGAATATGTGAATAATATTTTAAAAACTTTAGTTTCATGAAATCACAAAAGTAACTAACGTAAGCGGCATCGGAAAATATACCAAAACTTAAACAATTTTTTCACAAGTGTCGATGTCAGCCGGGTTTATAATATATTACAAGTTTGTCTTAAAAAAGCAGGAAAATGATCTTTATATCTAATAAGTACTTGAATTAAGTTATAAGTACTGTTCCAACGAATAGACAAATCTTTAGGAAAAGCACAATAATTGACACGTCTTTCCTTCAAATATTGCCACCATTGCATTTTTAGTGGAGTGTTAGCCCAAATCAATTTAATCCCCCCCTTCACTACCTCCAAAAAATCTCCTAATGCCGCTAACCCATCTTGTACACACAAATTTAGAATATGACATGCACAACGTTGATGAAAAAACCTACCCATCAATGTAGAAGCACCACACAATTCACGCAATCTAGGTATAGCAGCAGTATTATTACTAGCATTATCAAAACCTACAACAAACACCTTATCAATCAAATTATACTCAATTAAAATACGCTCAATGAGAATATAAATATTATCAGCAATATGACGATCATTGAATTCACGAAAAGCAAGAACACGTTTATGCATATTCCAATCATCATCAATATAATGTGCAGTAAGACTCAAATAATATAAATGATGATAAGTATCCTCACATATATCACTACAAATACTAACACATCCATCAAAGTTTGCGAAAAATGTTTGTAATTTTTCTTTTTCCAAGTTATATTGCCTTATAACTTCTTTTTTAGTCGTTTTGCGACTATAATTTCTAAATTGAGGATTTAAAGTACCTTGAGCATAATCTCTCAAAGCAGTTTTCGTAACCGATGTTCTCATATAGCTATATGAGAACTAAATCGCATATAGCTATAGAATAAGAAAGAAGCCTGTTTCATCATGAAAAGATTGAAAACATATGAAAAAGAAGTCATAAATCGCATTATAAGTCATTCTAACTTGCTTGTATTTTAGAAAGTTAACCTTAAAGCCAAACAAATAAAAGCAGCTTCTCACATAAGCTCTCCAAGCAAAACAATACTTGGTAGATGTTTCTTCTAAAAAGAAATAATAACTATGGGTAAATTAAAAGCTAAATTCATGATAAAGAAACATATAAAAGTTTATTTAGGTACAAGTAGTATTACACACATGGGAGATTTAAGTATCATACACGAAAAGAGATTATGAACATACATGAGAGCCTCCCTGGGGGTGACCATCTAAGCATAAAAATTATGAAACTGGTAATTTTATTTTTACATCATAGAAATGGATTTATACTGCTGCATTGTCTCTGTTATAGCCTTCTCAACAGGTAGCCTCTCCAAACTAGAAGCACCATAAAACCCATGAACTCCTTTGGTTCTTTTCAGAACATATTCTGCTTCTTTAGGACCAGATATAGGACCTACAAAATTGTAAAATTTGTTTAAATATCATATTTAGAGATCTCCAATGTAAAAAGTGTCAATGGTACATGTGTGGGCGTGACAGGAGAGATATAGACACAAAACAATTAATTAATAGAAAAACTCTGACATTCTTTCCACGGTGTAATGAATTTTCAGTTTTTCTTATTCAGAATGTCAAGCAGACCGTCTCGATCTTGACATTGCAAATAAAAAACAACTGAAAATTCATTACACTGTCGGAAGAATGTACGGGACTTTCTATTAATTAATTGTTGTGTCTATATCTCTCATGTCACGCGTGAATTGTGGACACTTTTGCATTGGATATGAACGGACATTGTGACAAGTATGTATTCATACGGACAACACACTTTATTCCAGTGGCGCCACGGGCCCACGTCACTGGTTCGGGTAAATATCTTGGTAAGTATGTCTTGAAATATGTTACTGCTCTAACCAAGGTTCAACTTCTACTGATGTTATCCACATCTCATTTGGGGATATTTACATTGCACCCGAGCCAAGGACAGAGTCAGCAGACTAGGGATAGAAATTGCTAGGCCGCATCCAACCACAGTTCAGTCCAGACTTTTTGTTGGTAGTTAAATCCATCTGTCCCAAATGCCCCAATCACTCTTAGCACAGAGTTGCAGGGATTGATGGTTTTGGGGATTTTAGAGAGAAGTGAGAACACTGATTTATATTTCATTAATGTATCTCTGTTTGTTAGTTTTAAAATATATGAATGGTTGGATCATTTATTTCTGCTTCTCTATATAGTTTTTCATCTTCACTTTATTTCCAACCAACTCAATGTGAAAATGATTTACAAATAAATAAAGATCACCCTTTCACTCTACTCTCCAAAATCCTCAAACCAGACATGCCCTCGGAAACACACTTTTTTCTATTGGGGTTGCCCCCCATGTGTACTCATGCGCTAGGTGGTTGGGTGTTACTAAAGTAATGTTAAAAACGAACATTTGATAGTGAGATGGACATTAAAAACAATACTGGAACATTATCTTTGTACTGGAGTATACAAGTAGATAAAATTTCTTGCCTACATTTAGAAGAGCTACCCAATGAGCATTGACAATTACAGTAGGCAGTTCCAGATTCTCATCAATAAAAAGACATGATAACTGAAAGTATCTCAATCATACCTCCATGACAAAGAACGATCACATTGGAATTAACCTCATGAGCAGCATCTGCAATACCTTGTATGCAAAGCACGCTGTCCTCCAACGATAGAGCTGTTTTTGCTCCAATGGATCCGGATGTTGTGAGCCCCATGTGGGCAACTATAATGTCAGCACCAGCTTTGGCCATTTGTGCAGCTTCATTTGGATTGAAAGCGTATGGGGTAGTCAAAAGGCCCATTTTATGAGCTTTTTCAATCATCTCAACCTCTAAACTAAATTATACAAAATAAAAAGAAATTAGTTTCTATGTTTGCTTCTAGGAAGAAGGAACTAATGATTCGATCAGTTTCAACATATTAGAAGCTTGCTAGTTTTCCTAGGATCCGTTTTTAACATAAAAGCAACTTCTGGAATTGCTGGAGAACCTCTTCTGAGAATAACGTTTTCCTTGGATTTAATTTGTTTGCTGTAAAATAGAGACCAATATTTACCTTGATCCTTTGAGAATATGTGGAAAATGACTTCCCACTTTCTGAAAGACGGAAACAGATGCATGTTCTGTTTACTTGAGAAAACATTTTCTCTGGAACATTTTCCTGTCCTATAGGAAAAAGTTTCTAGAAAATGTTCTCATGCCGCAAACATAAGGAAAGTAGAAAACATATTGCTGCCACATACCTATAACCCATTCCAGTCTCTTCTAGGTTTTGCCTAAAATTTCCATCAAATAGCCCAACCGTTGGAAAGTTTTGCACACCAAAGAATCCAACAGATTCCAACTGCTTCAGGAAATAATCCATCCTGCGGAACGGGTCAGTGGCACAAACTCCTGCCAGAACTGGTACTGTTTTTACCACCTGATTATTTTAAAATTCAAAGAAAGGCAACTCATATCAATCACTACAAGGATATGTCTGTCCAACTAACAATATAAAGGTTGTATGAAGTCTCAAAACTCCCACAAAATATGGGTCTAGGAGTGAGTATAACACAAGAGACTCATTTACTTTCTATTTGAAAGGAGATGGGTTCACACCCTGGATCTCCAGAATACAGGGGACGGCTGTAACTAAAGTCATAAGTAGTACTTTTGAAATAAATTTATAGTACCGATGCTTAGGGTTGGAAAATGCGCAGAATCATGAACTGACCATCCACCACTCTGAAACCAGTCAAGCCACAAAAATTCCATTTAACCATCTACTCCTAAAATGAATCCAGATATTATTACTGCACAAAACACCGTAAATGCTCGCCGAGGTGAAATGCCCGGATGTCGGATGAAGAACAGATGGATAGGAGGCCTGAGCTGAAGGAGAGCTCATATACTCTTACGCAAATCATGCAATGTTTTAAGGGTCTTGTGAAAGACAGGACTAGACAAAACAGGATGAAAAGAAGCAAGGGAAAGGGGAGAAGGCGGTGCGTGGAACAAGCAGAGAAAGATGGTGATGAATTGATGATGATGATGATGTGGCACTTGTGTGGCTTTATTTTTAATTCCCATTCATTTGGTACTTATCAATAAGGTCAACTGGCCAAGTAACTTTGGTATGATGGCATCACTGTGGCACTCCCAAAAAGGAGATCAACATTTGAATCCCATCAGGATGTTGGCATTTATCATGGAACAGAAACTATAATTGATTAGAAGTACATTGAAAAAAGAAATGCCAACTGTGTAAATGAGGTGCCCAATTTCCAAAATCCGGAGAGGCCAAGGAAATGCAATTAAGGACAAATTTGAGGTACCAAAGTTGCTTGTTCAATAGCATTCAAGGGGGGAGGGGGGGAACTGTGTTCTAACGAAAATAAACTAAGCTAAAAGTTAAAGCTTACAGGCAAAACTTCATTGGCCATCTCAAGAACGATGGCATTTGCATCAGCGAAGGGCAACAATCCAGACAAGGAACCTCTTCCTGCCATCCGAAAACGCCCAGAGTTGTATACGATAATCAAATCCACACCACCAGCCTCCTCAAATTTTGCTGAAATTCCTGTTCCAGCACCAGCCCCAATGACAGGTTTACCCATACTAATCTGATGTCTTAGTTTCTGAAGTATAACATGTGTTCTCTGCAATGTCTCTGTTATAAAGAGAAGATTCCGTCGATCATCATGTCTATATAACGAAAGAAAGAAAAGAACACCATACTACCCCTATTGGTAAATCCACATCTCAATCGAAACAAAGAAAAACTGGTTGGTCATTTCCAGCGTACAAGCCTACAAGGTCAAAGTAGAAAACAAGAAAAAACAATTAAGTACAAACTACTATTCTACTGTTTCCCAGGTGGGCTAAGGAATGGATTGACCGGTTCGACCATGAAGGGCTCGGGCAGGTCGTATTCAGCCGGATCGAAGTTATCATGCAAAAAGTCATTCATAACTTCATACAGCTCGGATCTCTCTGACTTTCGCCCCTTCAAGAACCCATAGGCACCCATCTTCAGTAGCATCAACCGCCCGATTTCATTCTCATGAAGCCTACAAAAGAAGTGGATGGCTTCTTTGGGACATGTTAGCACCGCCTCAATTACCCGGTCATGGTGGGCCCGGGCAAACTCAAGTGCGTCTACGAGGAAGTCTCTTCCAGCCTTATACTCTGTCACTGCAGCTTTCCGTTCAGTCACTAGTCTTGCCTCACATGCTGACCGAGCCTCCCTTTCAGCTTTTAACTGCTCTTCAGCAGCTGACCGTGCTGCCTGCTCAGCCTTGAGTTTCTCTTCAGCCTCCACAGCCTTTGTCTCCTCAGGGATTAAGGTCAACTGGGTGTGGAGCTCAGTCCCAAATATGGAATCCTGCAGAAAATTAAATTAGTATACTACAACATATTCCACTTTTGTTCCCATGACTATGGTGTCATCTTCATTATAGGCCCCCATGTTACATTTTTTTCAACTTCTGGTGCACGACTATGAATTTCATGCTACTTCTGATCTTTAAAATCACTTATCCAATGAAAAAGTAACCATAAATTGCTGGATAAATGATCAACATACCAGAACAAGGCGTGAAATCAACAGATGTGACCAAAAAGAAAAACAGGAAAGATGGAGACCAAATATTAAGGGATTAAACTGGTCAGGAGGGCCACTTTAAGATAATTTACCTTGCAGAGATTATCTTGGAGCGTCTCAGCAACTTGGTCAGTCAACAAGGCTGCCATTTCAACAGTCTTGGTGGCGGCAACGGAAAAATTCTCTCCCTTGCGCACCTTTTTATTCAGGGTATTCCTAGTGATTGACAAACAAGCCATCGGTCTCTTGACTGCTTTTTTTGAGGGGGCCGTGGGCTTGAGACCATTCCTAGTGAAGAGTTTCTTTTTCTTAAAGGTTAGGTTTTTACCATCAGCCGGCAAGGTGGGGGCCTGCAATTTCTCACTGATCATGATCCAGAACTCCTCTGCCATTGGATCATCTACCCAGACATGGGAAACGGTTAGTGGACATTAGGAGTTAGTCAGGCACAAATAAGGAAGGAGTTAGCAATTAGTCGATCTCCAACCACTGATCATTGCTCTTGATTAATTAGCAACACCATGGTCATCAGAACTTTGAACATCTCAGAGGCGATCATTAATAGACCCTTCTCATCCAAGTGGATATAATTGTGATAATACCCCCTTCACATCCCCTCCCTTCCCCACTCAAAGTCTGGCTGCGGGGGTGACATGATTTATAAAGTTCATACTTCAGCAGTTATTTTAAGGGAAGGTCTCAGGAATCTTGGAAAAGCATTAAGTTTTCAACCCTAATGTACGAACTACTAAGGAATCTCAGCCATGAATTTATGACGTAAATGAGCTTGCACCACTATGAAACTTAATATGCGCTCACCACTGGCTCAGATGAGAAACATATCTGGGAAAGACAGTCTTTGAGGAATTTCAAGGTGGGAGAAGACAATGATGAACCCCAGTAGCCCAGTAGGTATTTAGGGCCACCTGCCGGGCATGATTTGATTGAAACAGAACACTCAAGGATGAATGAATTGAGGGGGGGCTTAAGGGGCTGTGAAGCATTTAACAGAATCCAACCTGTTTAGGGCTCAACAATATTTGACGAGCCAAGGTTGCACATGACAATGATTGCAATGGAAGCCATGGAACTAAGGGGTAGCCATATGCGCCTTTCACCTCCACAAAAGTAGCAGCTCAAGGGTCGGGAGAAAGTCTTGCAGCCAGCACTAGCTCAACCACCAGTTGGAGAAGAGAATTTAAAAGGGATCACATATATAGGGAAACTTAGAGGACAGATAGTGTTGCATAGGAATTCAATCCTTCACAAGCAGGGGTGACCATTAAAGCTTATTTTACAGCAAAAACATTGCCTAAGAACCCAATTTTAACTCCCGAAGTTTCAAGATTTGGGATTTAAGCGAAATTTTAGGCAGCAAGAATTGTACATTAGTCACCCCGAGAGTTCAGTCGGGTAAGGAACAAGACTCAAGAATTAAGATTACCAGCCCAATGACATCATGGGGGTCGCATGATAAATTTTCACTTAATTGACCTGGTAGTCTTCACAGCTCAAGAAGTCGGGAACAATGACAGGGGACACACGGTCCACTTGACTTGGCCAGATGGCGTTAGGCATGCGGCTGCGGTGATAGCCCAACTACTCAATCATTCCCAGTGTGCAATGTGTGTCTTCCAAAATAGACCACATTTACTTGATTGCCGCTTGGCGCCTTGGCCTACAAATACGACCTCCAGGAACCAAAGGAGGGATCTTGCTTCTGAAATTCTAGAGAGAGAAAGAATAAATAGTGTAAAATCGTAAGTTTTGGGAGAGTATTCATAGCAGAAAGAGCACACAATCATGTGTCTGAACATCATTGTAATAGTTAGCTAGCACTTAGGCCAACTACGCCAATGCTTTACACGCTTCTACTCTTAGCTATATCGCATGACCTCTTGTAGAAACTGTGTAACCATGACTATTCATGCCAACTTATCACATCAAGTGTTTGTTCGTATCCTCTTCATTCTAGCTCATTCACCCGACTTGACCCTAATCCAACTGGTGAAGCCATTTAAGCCCCCTATGAATTAGAACCAGATTACCATGAGCTTGAAACTATAAAAGTCTGGAATGGACATATTTGCGTTCATTTATATTAAGAAATTTTGAGTTTTGAGGAGTTGTATGTGTCAAAAAAGGATTTAAATCAAACCATAAGAAACAGATAATATCATAAATAGCCAGAGAGCTACTAATTACATATTAATGCGCTCGTCCCCAGTTATCTTCGTGTTTATCTTTGAAAACTATAAAGGCACCTTGGGTTTTAAATGTAGAAAGCTAGTAAATGCAAAAAAAAAGGCAAATGAAATTACCTGGTTTTGCATTGGGGAAGTCACTCGAACACAAATAAAGGTTTTCTATGCTTGAGAATTTTGGTTGATCATCAACAAGCTTAGGTTTTTGAATAGATTCATAACTAGATTGATGAGTATCTACAACTTTAGGCTTCAAACAGATGTCTAAGAATGAATCAACCAAAGCATTTGCAAACTCCAGGTCATTAATATGATAAGGGAAGATGTTGACCTACAAGAAAATTTTGTTGAAAGGATAAATGGCACATATAGGCAGAGTCCTTGAAATAAGTTACTATGAGAAACAATGTTGGTTTTATCAGGATCAGTGTGAATGGAGGGCTAGAGAGAAGGATTTTGGTCCTTTTGGAGGGCGGCGAGTAAATAATACTCCCTCCGTCCCATAAAGAAGTTCCCATTTCGGTTTATGATGTTTGACTGACGATAAATCAAATCGATACCTGTTGACACTCAGATTATTTTTAGTAAATAAAATTGACATATTCCGATACTATCTTTTGGGAATAAGGCTCGGGTGTTGTTGTATTCAGACAGTACATTAAAAATACTACAAAGTCGCAAAAAAAAATCAAATTTGATAAAAAAAAAAATTGATATATAAAGTAAAAGATTAAAGTGATTTAAGTTGACCAAGTAAATAGTTAATGGGAACTTCATTTTGGGACGAAGGTAGTGTGTGTGTGTGTGTGTGTGTTAATGAAAGTTGAGAAAAATAGCATAATAGGTGATCATATATAATTCAATTGCCCTTCATTAGTTTTTACTTTTTAGAAATATTTTGAATGTCAAGATATAGGATTTAACCCCTCTAAAGCCTTTTCCTGCAAGAGTCTCAACACCCCTCCATTCTAACTGATCCAAAATGACTCGGATGAGAGGGTACCTGACGATCTTCACTTATCTGAACAAGACTTTGCAGCTCTTTAACAAGGCATTCAGTTGCTTGAGGGTCATGAAATGGTTTCCTTGGGGCATCCAATGCAGAAATACCTTTCTCTGGCAAGCAAATACGTACCTTTGAAGATGACTTATTCAACTTGTCGGCTATAAATGCAGCAAACTTCTTATTTTCATCCATTGTAGTTCGCATGAGAGAAACCTGGGACACAGACGGATTCAGTGACCATGCAATGCACAATTCAACTATGATCAACCAGCTGTCTAGGGTCTGTTGGGAACATGGAAAAAAGCTAGGGATAGAAAATAGAGCGGAAAATGAAAATGATATTTGAAAGGAAAGAAACGTCAAATGAAAATGAAACATTTGTTCGAATTAAGAAATATTTTTTATATTTGCCAAAAAAATCTAAACATATGTACAAACCTCAAAAACATTAATCGTATTAATTTTCCTTATAATATTATTTTTGGGTAAAAAAAACAAAAAAATAAAATAAATTCTCTTACCATTTTTTCCTTTACCAACCATTTCTGGGATCCAAACATGCCCGTAGTAAACAAGGTATTCACTAGTTCAAAAGAAACATCATGATTCAAATAATAATACATGAAAAATTCCTTCAGACATTATAGCTAGCTACTTCTGGTTTGAATTATAAATTAACAATCAAACGCCTATATGCATATATACCTATATTGATACCTAAGGTCACCTAGTAGGCTAGTACCAACAGACTTACTTATCTTGGTGGATTCAAATTTCAAAATATGCAAAAATAAAGTTATTAGAATTTTGTAGTGAAGCAGAACCAAAGAAGATCTTAGAAATTTATTAGATCTGTGTCAGACAGTGTCATTACCTGCTCATTATGCTCGTGAATCTTCCTTTGCTGAAAACCAGAAGGTATGGAACTTTTGGGACCAAAATTTACCATATCCAATGCTCCGACACTTAGAACCAAAGGAACCTTCTTTTCTAATATAGCATCAAAGCGAGAATCATCACATGCCATAACACCCCCAACAAGGTAATCTGCAACCTCAGTTGTTGTGATGTCCAACACACCCTACGATGAAAATAAAAGAGAAAAAAAATACTAAAGCAGATTATTATCTATTTAAAAATATCAATTCTTATTCCCGTTCGGTGAGGATAACATTTGGCAAAGATTGTTGTTGAATGGCCTGAATTTGATGAGAAATGAGAATGTGACTGAAATGGTTGAATGTCAAATTATCTAAAAATATTAAAAGCGTATTTATATAAATTCACTGAAATAGGATCTGAAGTGTTCTGAAAAAGTGTTACTTCTCATCAGTTAAGCCAAAAAATAAAGCACTGCTTTTTTCAATGTGAAATGTAAAATGGTTTTGCCAATGCCAACAAATAAGTTCATGTCAGGTAGAAATTTTGGCTAAAAAGCCAAATAACTTTCTTTCCAGAGCAAACTGGGTATGGGAGAGCAGCACAGGAAAAATAAACAATTGAAATTGAACAGAGGCAATAGCCTTTTAAGTTCTCATATTTTTCCTCGTGAAAATGTTAAGGTATACTAGAAAAGTGAAGGTTACTTTAACTGTTTTTAATAATTTAATTGGTATGGCCAAAAGACCGAAATCTGAAATCATGCTTTTTAATGAAGACTGGAGTTTTTTATTGACAAAATCATCTGTTATAGTGATAGAACTGTCTCGCATTGGATTACAAAGATAAATGAGTTACAACGGAAGAAACAAAATATACTAGAGACTGAGAGATTCAAATGTTGCACATTGGCAAAAACTCACCTGAATGAATCCTCCTTTAACCAGTTCTTCCATGGCCCTTCCCCCAACTCCAGTAGCATGAAAAACCAAGGTCTCAAATCCTTCTTTACTCAGCCTTTCTTTAACAGCATTAACACATGGAGTGGTAACACCAAACATTGTAATTCCAACAGTAAACTTTTCATCAGCAGCACATGATTTTCTAATGCTCTGAATTCGTGCAACCACCATACCAGCAAATGCTGCACCCGCATTGGAGAGAACAGCCCTACTAACACTGTTAATCCCACAAATATCAACTACGGAAGGAAATAATACCAAGTCGGATGTTCCAACATAGTGTTGTGTTTGACCGCTGGCCATGGTTGACACAATCACTTTGGGGATCCCAATTGGGAGAGAGCGGAAAACTGGCGACAACAAAGATGTCCCTCCACTGCCTCCTAAACCGACAACTCCAGCAAGAACCTGATCACTGTGAGCCCCAATGAGGAATTTCTCAAGCCCTTTACTCATAATTGAAATAGCTTTGCCTCTGTCATCTGGGAGCTGAACTGATTGCTCTCCTGTAGAATAGAATGAAAGCACATCTTTCCTTGAAACAAAATTAAAATCTCCACAACTACTCATTTCCTGACTGCCGGTTGAGATATCCACCACTGTGACATCCACCTGTATGTTCTCATGCAGACAAATGAAAAGCTTGAGACCATCAACCAAAGCCATGAATTTTATCTTACTATCATTAGTTTTCATTGTACTTCTCAAACAGGAATCTAAGCTTACTTTCACTGTATAAATTTACTTCTTTTTGACACAAACCAAATAAAAAATCACTTGTGAGGAATTGTGAGACCTCGTCCATTCTATACAGCTTGTTGTATTTTAATAAGGAATTATATTAGGTGCATTGGGAAAAGAGAAATGGATGATAACAAGGAGTAAGCAATGGACCTTGGTGGAAGAATTAGTGGCAAAGCAACTGAGACTGGATCGGACCGCATTAGAGAGAAATAGGAGCTCCTCAAGCTTCGTATCAGCCGTTCCAATGCAAAAAACTTGCAGAGAAGTTAATGAATTTCGACCTTCAACCATCTCTTATTATCTTCTCAGCCAGTAGTTGGCTAATTCCAAGAACTCAGGTGGAATTTAGGGTTGCAGGGAGACGCAAGAGTGAAAGCAGTTATTCTTCTGCAAATTTGCAATGCAAGGACAACACTAGATTGTGTAGAGGTCGATGAGAATGGAATCCCACGGCATGCGACGCGATGTTAGTGTAGACAGGGGCGAGTGTGCTCGGTCCTTCAAGCTCCGTTCGGTTGGATATTGTTTGCATGACCCCTTCTCAGCTTTTGGCTTTAAAAAAACACTTATTTTCCCAAACACTACAACTTTTATTTTTCTCGACTTCTGCATCAAAAGTGCTTTTACTTTTTCTATTACACAAAAAGCACTTATTTTACCAAACACTATCCACTTTTGCTTTTCAAAATCACTTTTTTCTCAAACACTATCAACTTTTATTTAAAAAAGCACTTTTTTAAAAGAACAGACCCTTAAAGTGAGTGTGTGCAATTGCTTCAACTTTAAAAAAGTGGTTTTTTAAAGTGATTTTTGGGAAAAGTGATTAATAGTAAAAGTTGGTAGTGTTTGAGAAAAAAGTGCTTCTGAAAAAGTAAAAGTTGATGGTAAAATAAGTACTTTTTGTGTAATAGAAAAAGTGAGAAGCAGTTTAAAGCACCCTTCTACCTGCTTCCAGCTTCTAGCTTTTAAGTGATTAATTTAAGCAGAAGCTGACATTTGAAAACACTCTTTTCAGTTTTTTTTAAGCCAGAAGCTAAAAAACGCTTTTTAAAGCAATCCCAAACACTCCTTTAATGTACTCGGAACTATCCCAAAAATGACTATATTGGCAGTTATAAAATTATGAAGTTTTGTTAAAATTTGTTATAAAATTATGAAGTTTTGTTAAAATTTGTGAAGTTTTGATGGAAGGAGTTGCATTAATTGATTCTGCTGAAAATTTATTTAAAAAAAATAGCTCAAATGATTCACGCAAAACTCCTAAAAAGTACTCTGTAACTTCAATCGTACTTTTTCTTATTATTACTAAACTCAGCGGAAGTTGGGTGTTTAATACAAAAGTTGGTCAATAAGACTGAAAAAGCGAAAAACTAAGTCAGCAAACGGACTCAACATGTATAAATGTATAACAATGTACGACATCTGAGATTTATGTACAGATATTTTTTTTTATAAATTCTAGATTGTAGAGCAAGGCATGGACCGCTTGAGCATAGGTGGTTCTTAATATTGATTGCCACTAATGGCATAGGTTGATAAAAATATGTAATTGTATTTATTAACGTTAAGCATTTATGTTGTGCACAAAAATTATTTCCACACTTAAACAAAGAGTTAATGGTAGATGCACGAAATTAGGGTTATAAACGAATTGGATCAAGTTGAATAGTGTGATGTTTGTATTCGTATTTGTTTAACAATACGAATAGTTAACTAATCATATACAAATATAGAATCGGTTTGATCATAAGTTAAATATTAGTCAAATACTACATATCACTTTAAAACAGTTATCTTACATATTTTTATGTTATAAATGCATGATATGATTTGATATGTGTTTAAAAAAAGGAAAATTGAAACATTACAATTTTCCTTAAAATTTAATGGATCAATGTGTTTTTTGGTTGGCACGTACAATATACCAAAGTGAATCAATTTTATGATTAATATACATAAATGTATTTCAAATTTTTTGAAACAACACTAACACACATCAAGTGGAATCAATATACTTCGAGATGCGAATGACGGTGAATGAAGGGATCAACAACTTTCAAGTGGAAACGGATTCCTCCATGGCAGTGCGATTTTTGGAAGGTCAGAGGGTGTGACGATGGAAAGAAATCATTCACGAAACCATGCTTATTGTGATTGGGAAAGGGGATTGATTTGGGCCATTCACTAACGGAAGGGAATATGGTCGCTCATTGCTTAGTTGAGGCTCATTTGGGCCAATTGATTTGTTATAGAAGCCCAACATCTCTTCCTATTGGAGTTAAACGGGCCTTTTTTATGGATTATTATGGTATTCCATTTTTAAGATTTTAGCTTTTGATGTAGTTTTCCAGGTTAGGCCTAGTCGAATAGCCCTTTTGGTATTCTTGCGGTATCTCTCCCTGGATTTTTCTTTAACTTTGTTTGGTTTTACCATGTACTATCCTCCGTTCCAAATTAGATGCAACATAGCCCAATGGCACACAAATTAAGAAAAGGCCATAAAGTAATTTGTTCCCTATCCTACCCTTCTGTACGTGTACAGATACACGCTCTCTTATATGGTCTTGACGGAAGAAACAAAGGAGATTGAAAAGAAAGAAGAAAATGGAGGAAAGGGATGTCCAGCACAGCAGTGAGCTTCAAACTCCTTGAAGTCCTAGGAAACACATAGTCGGAGATGCCCTCAGCCGCCGGCGCAGTCGGGCAGCGGGTGTTGCCGGAGAAAGTGGAGGACCCACTCTGTTCTGCTGCTAGCTTCGTTTCTGGAAAATATTTAGGCTGTTGCAGTGTTACTATTGCTTGGGTCGTTATCAAAGCCTTCTGGCGGCCATTAATGGCGGACTTCCGAGGTTGAGTACTAAAGGCCGAAGAAAATGACTAAGAAGATGGACAAATGGTAATTACCGTCGTGGCCTAGGCTTTCCTTCAAAAAATTTGTTGTTGGATTTTCTTTAAATGGGATTGGAAAACAATAATGGAGGAAAGGATGAAAAGATCGTAACAGAAGACTAAGAATGGGGAAGAAGGGTTGGGCAGATTTGTGGCGCAGAAAGGCTAAGTTCGGATATTACTTTATTGGATTTTTAAGGGCAGGATAGTCATATGGTTATTTCTTATTACTAAAAAAGGTAATGTTGCAATTAATTTGAAACTACCCAAAAAGGAAAGTGTTGCAACTAAAAAAGAACGGAGGGAGTATTTCTTAAAGGGTATGCCCTTTTTGGAGAGGTTTTGACTTGGTAAATGTTCTCCGACGTTTGTCCTACTAATTTTGGTGGTTTGTCTTTCAAATTTAAAAAATATATATTACTATGTCGTAACTATTATTAATCGAATGGCATTGACTAACATTTGAACGAATATGGTGCTATTCTTATTGATAGTATTTCAAATCAAATTTAGTATTTTTATTTATATTTGAATCATTAGGATGTGAATAGTTTTATACGAATTTGAATCCCGAAGAGAACATAAATTATTTAATTTGTACGCAATCATATGCACGATACATGCCCGACACCTGCCCGACAAACAATCATGAAATATTTTTTACTTTATGTACTGAACTCCTTGCGCAATAAGTGCCCATGGGGTGAACTCTAATTTCTCATTCAAAGCTATAAAATAAAATAAAGAATTTAATTAGTTAAAATTTAAAGATAACCGCAAATTAGTATTCCGTATTAATTAAACATCATGATGACCTCAAAATGAAATTAACAAGTTTATGTAAGTGAATACATCATACAATGTAATGTTGCAAGAGATCAGAGCATGGAACCATTCATATAATTTCTTCAGATTACCCACAAAAGAGCTGAAATATTTATAATTCCGAGGTAATACATCTATTAACTATGCAGCAGATGGGGCTGTGATGCAATGCACAATGGCGTTACTAGGAAGTGTTGCAGACACGGCGTATTTGGCGTCATCGACCTCGAGATCCCGGACGGGGACGGGGAGAATAGCGGACGATACGCTCTTGAAATCTAAGGACATGTCATTGTATATATCCCACCACCTTTTCACAAGCATTTTGATGTCTTCTCTGTCCATGTTTACTTCTTTACCGGTATACCGCCATGGCTTAGATCCTGTTGCACAATAGTGTACCACTTTCACCTTCTCAAGCTCCACATTTTCCGGGTGACGCCACAACATGGCTAACACCAAGTTGTACACATTAGGAATGGGCTTGTACACATCTCTGAAATATACATTTAAGAAGTCCTGCATTAATATAACAATGGTAAGAAAAACAAGGAGTTAGTCACTATATATATTGCTTTTCATATATAAGCTACTCCGTATATACTATACATATGTTCATTCATTCGGATTAATTAGAATTTCATATTCCCAGCTGATGAGCTTGATCTTTCATTCATTCTACATATGCCACATTTTTAGAAACATAGGACTCGGACACTCCTATTTAGGGAATTTTTTTATTCTTTAATTCTATCAATAAGACTAAACAAGCCTTACAAAGAAAACATATTTAGTCCTATTTTTTAAATTTGTCTATATATTAGTTCTATTTTGAGCAATTATTATATTACGGATTAGTAATTATTACTATGTAGATAATATTCTATCCGTTTCTAATATGGTCTCTTATTCCGTCTTGGGATGTTTTTAATTACTTGTATGTGTTTCTTTCCCCTTTTAGTAAGTTTTTCCTATCAAAATACCTTTATAAACTCACTTTTATTACCTTTAATTTTTTTTACTTTTTACAAACTACTTTTTCTTTTCTACTTTTTCATTTATTCTACACTCTCTATTGCCGCTACTGTTTTTTTCTGAGGAATCGTAAAAAAAATATAAGAGGACAGTTATTAGAAAACGGAAGAAGTAATTAAGAGTATCAACCATGTCAAAAAAATTACTCTACATACAATGGCGGACCCACTAAGGGTCCCATGGGGTCCCGGGACCCCGTGGTCTTCGAAAAATTTACCTATATATATTACATATATTTTACAAAATTACATGTATATATTAGATATATATGTCAAAGATATCGCGTTAGAAACCAAAGTGGTGCAACGGAGTAATGGTATCATGAGTGGGTGGAAAGCTTTCCCTGTGCGTGAGATGCTGGGTTTGACTCCACCTCGTGGTTGATATTTTTATTTTTAAAACTTGTTATTTTAAAACTCCAAATGATGTCCTTTTGGTCCAATTTTTAAAACCCCTTCCAACTGCAAACCTGATACCACAACAAATCTATTGTCATATGTGTATCTCCCTTGAGACCTCAACCAATTCTTATTAATTTTTTTTATGAATTAATTATAAAATTTCTTTTGAATGTTAAGATTAAATTAATAAATTTATGTATTTCTGAATGTGTTTTTTTTTTTTTGGAATTTTACGATTAAGGGTGAAAAGGTATTTCGGTAGTGTGCCCAAATTTGGATTACTGAGAGTAGTAAAGATATTCATTCAAATGATTCGCCTTTAGTAAATAAAGAATTGAATCTAGTAAA